GGCGCTACGGGCCGCCCCGCGAGGTGGAGAGCAGCGGGCCCGTGGAGGCCGGCCCCGGCGCCTGCACCTTCGACTCCCGGCATCTCTACACCAGGAAGGTCTGCGGGGAGGGCGCCGTTCGCGCCGTCTCCTACAACATCCTGGCCGACACCTACGCCCAGACGGAGTTCTCCCGCACCGTGCTCTACCCGTACTGCGCTCCCTACGCCCTGGAGCTCGACTACCGGCAGAACCTCCTCAAGAAGGAGCTGGCGGGCTACAGCGCCGACCTCGTCTGCCTACAAGAGGTGGATAAGTCCGTCTTCGTGGACAGCTTGGCTCCAGCCCTGGATGCTTTTGGACTCGAGGGGCTCTTCAAGATCAAGGAGAAGCAGCACGAAGGCCTGGCCACTTTCTATCGCAGGGACAAGTTCAGCCTCCTTAGCCAGCACGACATTGCTTTCAGCGAAGCCCTGCTCTCCGACCCGCTGCACAAGGAGCTGGGTGATAAACTGGCCAAGTACCCCTTGGTGCAGGAGAAGGTGTTGCAGAGGTCCTCTGTCCTGCAGGTACCAGCCTTTATGTGCATTCCTCCTCTTTCCCCTCTCCTCGCGCTGTCTCCAGGCAGGTGCAGCCAAGACACGTTTGTTGAGGGTCAGGCCACAGGAGAAGGGAGGTGAGGAATTAACAGTCTGAAGTGGTATGTTCTCTGTCAGCTACAGTAATGAGTAGAGCAGAAGAGCAACTTAGGAACAAGAACAAAACGTTGGGATTTCACTGGACTGCATAAATTGAATTACCAAAACGAAAAAAGCCGGTATTATTTTCTTTAAGATAGCTGTTGACATTCTGGGCCAGGTATCAGCTCCTGGTTGGTGATAGCCAGGTTTTTCATTCCATACTCCTGTATGTCAGAACATGTACTTCATAAATCTTATAAATCAGTTCTAAATGAGATTAAGTTAATTTAGCTGGCTTTAATAATGCTGCTTTAGAAAGTGACAGTAGGGACAGAACAGGTTTGGATAGATTTATGAGCTTGTTGGTGCCAGTGGGTCTGTAAGCAGAGCTATTGTGTAAGTACAAATGTGTAAGAGAGGTCTGTGTCAGGAATTTTGGACACACTTGGTAAAACTTTCCTACTTGTGATCTGAGTAGGACTACAAGCTTTCCCCGATAACTGATATCACCTCTAAATTTATGTTCAATTTAACAACCTATGCAGTGCTACAGTTTGCTTGCTGAAGGCAGAGATATGAATTCTGTTGCAGAGGTGGGAAAATAGAAAATAAAAGTAGTTAAGAATGGCACAGCATTAGCAACAGCTTATGAAAAAATATGGAACGGGTTGAAGGAAAAAAACACAGCCAAAACAGACAGGGACAAAAGAACGTTTGTCAAATACCTGGATGTAGTGGTAATATATTGGCTGATACCCAGGCCGTATATAGAAGATAAATTAATAAATTATAAGCATCAGATCCTTTGAACTGGGTTGCCATAAAGGCATAAGGTGACTATTGCATTATTTAAAATATATAACCTCTCTATTTAAGACTCATCAGACTGCTTTTTCTCTTGAAGGTTTCAGTTCTTCAGTCTACAAGTGATCCTTCCAGGAAGATTTGTGTAGCTAATACCCACCTTTACTGGCACCCAAAAGGTAATTTTCTCATATTCGTGTATGTAGGGTGACTGGGTTTGCAAAGGTTTTTCCCCTTCCTAGGGAGAATAGATTTCCCCCCATTCTTTTACAGCTGTAATCTTCTGGAACTGAGGGTTACCTGCCTTGCTTCTTACCTAGATGAATCAAACCAGGCTGCTAGGGCTGTTTGTTTATTTTCCTCAGAATAAGATTGTTCTAGTCTGCCTGGGAGTCAGTAGAATACAGCTGAAGGTAAATCATGTTACACACAATTCACCCAAATTGCAGACCATAAAATACAGGTTTGTGTCTGCTCATGGCTTCCCAGTCCTACTGTACCTGCATGAGCTCGATTGGAATACTGCCCCGAGGGCTACAGAAGATTTTAGGAGAGATCTTCCTCTTTGAAATTAGTTTTTTGATTCTGTGCCTTTCAAGAACGTTGTTGGAATGGATGCCGTGAAACAAAAAGCTGCTGTAATATGGGTGTTTATGGGTGAGAGTTCTTGCATGTGCGAGTTTAATTTAAAACACTGTCTGCATCTCTAAAACTTTCTTAGTCACAAACTTCAAAGGCTTCCTTTATTTTTGAAAAGTATTCTGAAATGTGGTGCACAGAAAATCTAAAATGACATTGCTGTTTCAGAGCTAGACATGATACATACTTAGATGAGCATAATTCCTCCATTGCTACTGTGAAGTATTGAAAGTAAAATGTTTTTATATTCCTAGGTGGGAACATCCGTCTCATCCAAATTGCTGTAGCCTTGTCCCACATCAAGCACATAGCGTGTGACTTGTATCCTGGTATACCAGTCATATTCTGTGGAGATTTTAATAGTACACCGTCGTCAGGGACTTACAGTTTTATTAGCAGTGGTGGCATTGCTGAAGATCATGAAGACTGGATCTCGAATGGTGAAGAAGAAAGGTGCAACATGCCTCTAAGCCATCCTTTCAAACTGCTAAGTGCTTGTGGAGAACCTGCTTATACAAACTATGTTGGTGGGTTTCATGGATGCCTGGACTATATTTTCATTGACAAAAATGCTTTAGAGGTTGAACAGGTCATTCCATTGCCAAGTCATGAAGAAGTAACAACCCATCAGGCTTTGCCAAGTGTTTCACATCCTTCCGATCATATAGCACTAGTATGTGACTTAAAGTGGAAATAGATAAGCTCTTGCATGGTGCTTTTGGGGGTTTTCAAACAAAAAAATTAATTTACTGCTGGGGAACTGAGGTTACACCCTGGCTTGTATGGTCTTAAAAGGAAAGTCAGAATGGTTACTGGAAAGTTCATGTGTTTAATGGTTCTACTGATTATCACACTGTTCAGAATATTTGCATGACAACATTTCCCTTTTTATATGTTAATAGGAAAAATATATTTAAGACAGGGGTTTTTGAAAATTGGATTATCATACACCTTTTTATTGGTGTTTTTAAAGGATTAAGAATTATTTTGTTAAAAAATATGGATTTAATCAGATTTCTAAGACCATGTGCAAACCGAACCCTGCTTAATTCAGAATCAAACACAGAACCTGAGAACAAATGGATTTAGTTGATTCAACCTCATTGTAATTACTGTCATGACAAGACAATTTAAAAAAATGTAAGTTCAGAAATTGTCTTGTTCACTTACCATTACTGTGTCCCAATTTTTTAGTGAGTGGCATGAACAATGTACCTTCTACCTACTGCCTTGTGAAAATATGTTCTTTATTTATCAGTGAATAGGTGTTCTGTCAACAATCAACCATGTTAAATCCAAGGTTATGATTGATTTGGAAGCATTTTGCTTGCCTACTTAGTAGGGGGTATGAGGGTAACTTTAGCACCTGGATAGGTAGCATCTACTTTGAACATGTTTCTTTTATTGTTTATAGTCATTGGCAATAAAAGAAATACTAAAAGTTCAGGAGAGCCAGCTCTGGATGAGGGGGGAGCTTTTTAACAATATAATCTGGTTTTGGGCAGGGGGAGATACAGAATAGTTCATGTGGTGCATTAGCTACCTGTGCCTAAATCTTTAAAAAGAAACACAAGTGATGAGCAGACCTTTATCACAATTGTTCTATTTTGTTCCTCTATGGCATACAAAGACAACATAAATTAAGTGCTTCTACCTTCATTTTTTTCCTTCCAGCAACAGTTCAGTCTTCCCTATTTTGTAGGAGGCAATTCAGATGTGGGGAAAAGTATTTTCTTGGTACCTTCATTAAATGGAGGGGTTTGAATCCTTTAACAAGCTGCATCAGTAGTCCATATGAAACAAAAAGGATTTGAAAACTATTTCACTATATCTCCCTCTTTCACCTAATAAAGTTTCCTTTTCAATTGTCTGTCACTATTGTCTGTTGAGTTTTTTCTTAGTTACTGGTGTCTTCTGTGGCAAAACAAGTCCGCCCGTGTTGGCCAAAGCAGCGTGCCCCGTACTTGCACAACCACTCGCCTCCGCTGCAGCCGGGGAGAGGGTAGGCTACAGCCGAGGCTCACTAAAATGTTTATATATTACTACAAATAGGCAGCTGCTTTCAAATAGCATATTGTCGAGGGTTGTTGGTCCTGCCTGTTGCCGTAGTACCTGCTATACTGTGAAGGGTGATGCTTTGCAGAAGCTTGTATGTTTTTCTTACTGTAGTATCTGAGCATCTTATAAGTTGATGCTGACGAACAGTTGCACTAGTAAAGCCAGCAGGGAGGTTTAGCCTCAGATGTCATACAAGGCTAAAATGATGCAGGCCCATAAATCTCAGAAAATGTTTCAAACAACAGGACGTGAGAAGACAAAACTGTCTGGAATTTTGTTACCAACTTGGCACATAAAAACACAGGTTCATGGAGAGTGACAAAAGGACTGTTCCGCTAATATGCAAGTTTGTAGAAGCCTGTATTGCTAAAGAACTTGTGTGTCCTTTGTAAGCAGATTTTTTCAGCAGTATTAGCAGTTAACCTTTGAAGCGTTTTCTGCCATCCCAGCCTCTCACCTGATCCTGCCCTATTGCTTCTGAATTCTGGCTACTTGTTCCTGCTCATGCCGTACCAAGCCAGAATAGTGAAGTGATCCTGTTAAAAATACAGGGCCTTTCATTTTCTTGACTATTATTGCACTGGGTCATTATATCCTGAGCTGATTCACCATAAAGCCTCTTGTGCCCAAAGAACAAGATAAAGGCTTGGGGCGGGAAAAAGTGATCAAGGTCTGGAGCAATGCATTCACCTGCTTAAGCAGATCTACCACAACAGCAACACCAGACCTCACTGAAAGAGCACTCCTTTAGTGTGAAGGGCTTTGGCAGCCTTATATGTAAACCTTCAAATCTCAGGTTTTCCTAAGTCAGCATTTTAGCTAAACCAAACAGTAGCTAAGGGCCTTCGGATAACATGTGGAAGCAAACCAGAATGCAGCAATAAAAGTGGCAACTAATGATGTTAGATCATTGCAACAGAGTGATGGACAGTACTCACCCTGTAAAATTGGACCCTAAATATTTTGGGTGGGTCCTTTATCAGTTTCTGTTCTCTTACAAGTCTAATTAAAGTCTAATTAAAAAGTAAAGTGTAATTCAATCTTGCATATGAGTTGAAGGTGATGCCTGTACTCTTCTGGACTACAAAGTTGATAATATCAGTATCAGGCTTTGTAACAACATCAAGATACAGGAGCGAGGAGAAAAATCTTGCAAACAGAGTGGAGGCTGTAAACCTCATGTGTGGTCAAAACATATTTACTAATTTAGATGAGGGAGAGCTTTCACCTGAAGATGTTTGCAAGCATATGCCATCTTAAAGGGCAGAAAAAATAATTGGAAGATGTGTTCAGGAAGAAAATCTAAATATTAACACCTTGGAAAAACACTGAAAATGACTACATTACAGCTGAGTCAGAGGCCTTCTACAATTTGCCAGCACTGAAAAATTTGAGGGGAAAACAACCCCCAAAACCAAACTCTGAGTACTGCAGGCTTGTAGACTGGCAGGAGCAATGTCAGACACTTAGAATATTAAGATTGCAATTTCTAAATTTGGAAGTGAAATTGTATTACACAGGCTAACTGAGCTCCCCTTATACCTTCATAAACATTCTTTTTCTCCTTTTTAATACCTAGCCATCACAACTGGGTTACTTCTTATTTTCCAAACCAAACCATTACAGATCTGTAACCTCTCCATACTACCAGAAGATGGAGCTGCTCAGAGAACAGACTTGCCTGGTATTCTGCCTCCCTTCCAAGAAAGCAGGTCTGTCATTCCCTGTGCTGGTACTTGGGGGGCTGCTTCTGGCTCCTTGCAGACCAAGGAGAGGGAGAGCACGGCAAAGCTGGCATCTGCAGGAAGCAAGAGGCAAGGAAAAACCATGGCACTGGAACAGACCCAGTAAAATTAGATGGCCCTTGCACGTGGCAGATAAATCTTTTATCTTCAGGAGGAAAATCTGCCCCACAAGCTAGTGCTGCGGGTTCTCCAGTCCAAGTATCCCTCATTTAATTAGTAAAATGCAGCAGCCCAGACTGCCTGCCAATAGCAGTGGTGTGTCAGGAACCAGTTAAGACATTTCTGGAGTGAGAACGCAGCAGAACGGTCTCGGTTAGGGGAAAAGTCACAATTCAAAAGAATCACCGTTTGGGGGGGAATGAAAGCAACCCTTAGATACACACCTTTGGCCCATACCCCCCATGCTCCCAAGCTGCACTTACCTCTACGGGAGGCAATACGTGGTGCTTCCTACTTCACATAAGGTGATTTTAGCTCCCATTTTAGCTCCCCCTACACACCTGCACCTTACCTAGCGATCAATTCTTCCTCTGTACACCACTCTAGAACACAGATTTGTGTAAGTCCCACCGAGCTTGTCTCCATTTTATTTCATACACCCAAACTCACCTGTGTTCCTCTTTCAGCACTTGCAATGCTCCATATCCTTCACATCAAAAAATTTGGCAAGATTATTTTTGCATCTTTCCAAACGTAGGGGTTTGTTGGGGGTTTATTTTCTGTTCCTCTACTCTCTCAGACCAGCCATTAAGGCAAAAGGGGAAAAGGAACATCTCACTTTGCTTTCTAATCAATTTTTCCACCTCTGATGCAGTAAACTCCAGAGACAGCACTGCTCCAGCACCTGCTCTGACGAGCTGTTGTATTGAGGGAGGGATGCATTTCCTCCTCCAGACCGGCTCCTGCTGTGGACAAACCTGTCACCCACACAAACATTACTAGAACTAAGGGCACTGAAAGACTGGCCTTCTGGAGGTGACAGATCCTTGGCTAGTTTTTAGGTGGTTCTGGTTACTGTGAAATGTAGTTTACCTGCATATTTGATACACACAAAAACCAACCAAGTTTTGCCAGATCCTTCATTCTAGTCTGGCAACTTGGAACTCGTATTATTTTTTTCCATTCCAGACAAAGGGGGCTTAGCCACCTGTGACAGTACTTGAGTTCTTGCACATTAGTATTTCTTGTATCACCGCTATTTTTGAAGGGACTAATTCAAGCCTTCAGTAAAATGCCTTTATGTACCATGCTAAAGCAAACAATAATGCAAAGTATGATTGAGAGAAAGAAGGACGGAGAAAAATGGTACAAGAAAGGAAGAAGAAAAAATACCCAACATGCTAAGGAGTCAGATCTTTCAACATCTCAAATTCATTGTGTAGTTAACTTGTTTCTCACATTTCCAGCATCAAAATAATTGTTCCAAAACTTTCAATTCTCACCCAAGTAAGAGGGGACGCCTGGAACATATCAGTTTTCCTAGAATTTACATCAGATTCTTGAATAGAACTTCATGCTTTTAATTTTTTTTCTGCACAACACACTTGGTAGATAAGCTTTATTCAGCAGCATATAGAATGTAATTTCTCACTCAAGTCCCCTGTCAATACCATTCTTGACAAGGGCAGGAACGACATACTGGGACAAGGTGATGTACAAAGTTTCATCAACCTTGCACTCAAATTGCCTTTGTCCAGACCTTAATATAAATATTACTCAGATGAGAAAGGGACTGAAAACTAGGCTCTGAATTCTCATTACTGAAAAAACCCTAAACCACTTTTTACACACAAGCTCAGCCATTGCTGTAAGTGTCCTTGTGTTCCATTGTCTCCAGAACATCATTTTACTGGTGTTTATTAAAAACACTGAGAGCAAACCAAGCAAGTAAAATGCTTATAGCATTTGTTGCTAACTCCAATGTGCTTAGAACTGATTTTTGTTCTGCTCGTGAACAGTCAAACCAAGGTCTGCACATAACCTAGAACTTGTTCTGAAGCTGGTTTGTAGATAATGTTGTTCATGAAGACTTTTTTTTTTGAATAAACAAATATCCACTATTATTTATGTTCTAGGATTGAGTGATCCAGTTAGTTACATGTGAGAAAAACAAAACAAGCCTTTTGCCCTGGTCTGTATGTGGATCTAAATATTCATGGAAAACTATTCTCCAAATGTTGGAAACAAATGAAAGGCCAATCAATGCATGTACTGAAAATACAAGGGCTAAATTGTGTCAGCATGGCCAAATAAAAGAAAAACCACTCATTCTTCAGTGTTTTGCTCTCTATAGTTAAGATGACCAGCTGATACACTGAAATAAAAGCTCTTGTATACAAGTATTACTAGACTGACTCCCCAGTGCAACACAACTTGCCCACCAAATAGAAGAGTTGATGCTACACAACGAAAAATTTCCACTACTGGAACTCAGGATTTCCTGTCATTACAGTAATTATACTGTTCCTTAAAGGAACAAATTTTTAGCAGTCTTGTGCCTGTCCAAGGTTTTGAACTTCTGGGAGAACAGCTCGGTTCAGGTATTTGACTTAAGATAGGGAAGTGACAAACAAAGTTAGTATTGGATCTGCATGGGAATTTCATCTGTCTCTGGAGAGCAGGGCTGTATTATATGTTGTTATTGACACACAACATATATAGGTCACTGATATAATTGTTTTAGCCAGAAAACAACAATTTTAAAGAATGCCAAAAAGCAAAACAAGTATTTTTACCTACTCACAATGTCTTAAATGAGTCAGTGCCTTCACAATAGCACAGTTGTACTGTGTTCAGGTAAGACAACTAGCACACAGACTATCCTTTTCGTCAGTTTAAGAAAGCGTCACTGCCCCAGCTAATGAATTTACTGACAGATAGCCGTATTAATGGAATATGATGCTGATTTCAACACAGCATGGGATCCTGGTACTAAAAGAGGTAAGACAGCATAATAAAAAACCCTCATCAGGACTGTGTTCTTGTACTAACAGACAAGCACTAGCTACAAAAGTAGCACTAACTCCTAAAGGAAAAGCAAGCCAACAAGATTTCGGCTCACAGCAACAGCCAGTAAGAACACGCATAAACTATTTCACATTTTTCATCCGAAGACAAGGCAGCTTTCTAGGCAAATGCACCAAGGCCAGTTGCTGCTCAGAATCTGGAGTGTACCTTGAAAACCTTGAGAGAATTGAGAACAGTTGATGAGAATATAATAACCCGAGGGGAAGTTTATTTACTTCTGTCAATAGTGACGTTACTCCACAGCCCATCAAGTGTCCTGTCCCTTCCACAGCTTAATATTCGTATGAATAAACGTGTA